GCTGCTGCAGCGATTATGTTGGCGACGATTGGATTATTTTCATACAATTCACTAATTACAATCAAATATCTTCTGGCCACGTTTCCATGGTACTCGGCTGGAGCGAAGCGTCTGTCATTAAACACGCTGCGAGTGTAACGCGAATTATTTATATTTTATTTTTTTATCGCATCAAGTGACGGGACGAACAAGTCGTGCGCCTGATGGTAAGCCACACGCCTGTCCATAACAGTTCAAGTGCCACTCGGAGCTTTAAATTGCAAAGATCTGAGGGGCACTACCACTGCGCCCGTCACCTTGAGACATAAGTTAACAAGTCCAATGTGCCTGTAATTTCACCATCATTCTTGCCCTTCAAAACAGGAACGCAGTAATGCTCACGACTCGCATTGTTGCTTGGTGGCAGAAATAGGTAAGGTGGCAGTACTACCCTGGACGAACTCTTTCACAAGGAGGTCTAATGCTGCTGAACGCCTTTGTGTTTGTCAAAAAAACCGACCACAGTCGAGCACAAGCCGACGGCTCGTAAGCGTTTAGACGCACCTTTAGGTAGACGCACCTTTAAGGATAGGCGCGTCGTGTACCACTTATCCCGTCATTTAATATCATAAAACAAGAAAGTTACGTAACGTAACATGTTGTCTAGAAAGTATACTGTAATTTGTAAGAAATACTCCTTACTTTCATTCCTCTTCTCCAAAACATAAGTACGTTGCTTGACAGAAGGGGTTTTCAGAGGTTGTTACAGTATTTTCCTTATTTGGCCTTCCTTGGGGCGGCGGCACTTGATAAGTTGCGCTTGTAGACGACAAATTCAATTTGTTTCGTTTTTTTTATTTTCCGAAAAAAGTATAGTTACATATATATCCGAGATAGAACTAAATAGATGTTTCTTACTCGTACTTAAAATTATAATGCATGGTAGAGGATAATTTGGTAACTTTTGTTGTCCTGCAAAGAGACGTCTTTCAACTTTGACAATTATGAAAAATAGTCACGGACATAACATTAATACGAGGAATAAAAATAAACTAGCTGTTCTAGACAGTCGTCTTTACAAATTCACAAATTCATTTAAGGGGCAATGTTTACGCTTCTATAATAAGATTCCAGGTGATATTCGACATATGCCATTTACGAGGCTTAAAACTATAGTGAAACAAAAACTTTATTCTAAAGGTTATTATATAGCATCTGTGTACTTGGATGTACTTGGCTGATAAAAATCCGTGGTAGTGACCCATTTAACTCTTGCACGTATTCTAGATCTAAGACGTTTCAAATAAATATATAATAAGTTCGCCATATAAATGTGAAAGAATTGTCTTAAAACAAGAACGAACTGTAAGACACCCCTGAAAACGTTTTGTCTATTTATCGACACAACAAGACTACCCCTAAATAATTAATGATACTCCCAATTCTGATGAGTATTGAAGGATGCTATCAATACATAAAAGCTGAATTGATAATTACTAAAGCCCCCAAGTAATGACTTGAAAAACTGACTTCAATTCTCGTATTTTTGTTATAGAACAAATAAAAATCTAAAATATATAAACAGCAATACAAGACAAGGCTAATTAATTAATAAAAGAAATGGAACCTGTATTCAGGAATTTCTTTCGCAAACGTGTACGTTTACGTTTGTAATTTATTACGTCTTTTTTATTGTGCTATGGCCACACTTAAATTCAATGGCATTAATTAATGCATCGTCAATCGAGACTAAGCGTAGATGGAGCTGCGACTTCGCCCGATAATTATTAAGGCATTCATTGCATTAGGCATTAGACGATCTTTTCAGCACATCAAAATTATCGTATCAAAATATTGATCGCTTCAACAGGACCGACTGTAATGGCCGCTGAATCAATAACACTCCTAGTGCTTCTTTAGAAACGGTGGTCATGCGCTTACGGGATTGCGCGCGATCGCCCGTGTAAAGTTTTTTAAGCTAGGCAACCTTGGAACGCACGAGACGAGCGAACGCGCGGTCTTTCCATTTTCCTTCCAACATCTTTACACGCGCGCCCAATCACGCACGATTGGCTGTAAATTATGTATATTACAGCGTGATAAAGCCATGAAAACGTGACTTATTGTTAATACAAAGTCTATATCTGATCTAAACCAAAACGAGGACAACAAAGTGACGTAAACACTTAAACTTGGATGTCTAACTAACTTTGTTGAATTAGTAAAAAAAGAGACGGCATTCGGTATTTTACGAACTACATATTAAGTAAAAAAAATCTGTTGAGTAGGTAAAGAAATAATTGAAAATTAGAATTGAGAAAACACATTTAGCGCACTCATCATTGGTACGATAGACTAAGGGGTCGTATTCTAGAACTCTACTCAATGCTCAAGTCAGGATTTGAGTATGATTTTAAAGCACTAGAAATCATACTCAAGTCCTTGCCGTTAGGGTCGTATTTCCAGTGCTTGAAATCATACTCAAGTCTGCTTAAATTCTGACTGGAGCATTGAGTAGAGTTCTGGAATACGACCCTAAGATCGTTAAATCCGTGTACGCTGTAAGTAAAAGAAGTGTTAATGGCTATATTACCCTATTGTAAAACTGCTTGGCGGCAGAAATAGATAAGGTATAAGGTATAAGTACATCCCTGGACGAACCCTTTCACAAGGAGCTCTGCTCTAAGAAACTGCTTTTTGAATTTCCTCTCTTCCACGGTATAACAAGAAAAACTATATTCTCATACAAATCGACTTCGTCCCCTTAAATTCAGATAATAAATCATTATTACAGTTCTTAATTCTTTTTTTAAACCCATTTGACCTTTACAAAAATAATGACCTTTTACTAATGTATCTTTTTGTTTCTTTCTTTTTGTTAAAGAAACAAAAAGATACATTCCATTATTTATCTGAAAAATTTACTTCCAAGTTTCAGGTTCGTACACTTGGGAAATATCCTTTACGAACATTCACGACTGTTTCCTCTCTTTAAAAAAATGCAATTGTATGTTATTGTTGGCTTTGACGAGAGAAAAAAAATAAATTAATAGGATTTATAGTATACTATTTTCTCATACAAGTTTATTACTGTTACCACCATTATCGTGACCTTTAAACGACTTAGAGCTTGCTGTTTTAGCCGTTGGCTGATGGGTTGATATGAATTGAGAAACGGATGGAAAGACCAACTTCATTCTCTATTCAAATTAAAGGGGTTTTATCATTGACTTACAATTACATGGACGTCGGGTCCGCGCTAAAAGTGTCCGAATTTATAGGGCGTTAAAATCGTATACAGAGCGTCATTCACGCTCTAGTCTTCGTTTGTTCGACTGACAGCGAAGCAAGCAAAATTAGACAGTACTGCGATGACATTACAATTTAAATTCAACGTTTTAGCTTTTTCATATTCCTTTACATGTCACTACGTTTAAATAGGTTGATTTGGGACATTTTTTTCGTGGTTTTTGTATCGGACGACGGGTCTAGTCCATTTATTTGTAAGTCAATGGGTTTTATTCAAAATATCTATTTGAGAGACGTGCTTATGATAAAAATTTATTATCAAAATTGGTGTTCTATTGTGGTAACGATGCGCGCGTAGTTGACCGCCTCGGGTTCTCCTGAACACTCAGTATTCTAGTAGCAGTAGAGCTTGTGACAGAGTTCCTCCAGGGAAGTACTGCCACCTTACTTATTTCTGCCGCCAAGCAGCATTACTGTATTCCGGTTTTGAATTATAAGAGTGCTGGTGAAATTACAGGCATATGGGATTTGTCAACTTTTGTCTCAGGGTAACGGACGCAGTGGCAGTGCCCCTCAGATCTTTGCGGTTTAATTCTCTGCGTGGCATTGCAACTGCGCGACTTGTTCGTCCCGTCAGTGAGTAATAACAACAAAATAGAAAGATAACTCTTCTAGCAAACCGTGCCAGACGTTATGCCAGCTAAACCACGGAACGAGCTAACGGACCTTACGATTTTTTCTATGCTTGTTGCAGATCTTTGTTGATCTAGAAGACGTTGCTTCGAATCGAGCCAGACCGAAGGGTTTCAGGTTTTTCTTTGTGTTCGATTTTTCTATTAATAATTATATCAAACTATTTTAATGGAGTAATTCTACAAAAAGATAATTGAATAAAGGTAACTCTGTGATAAATTGTAGTAGTTACATTTGTACAAATTTGTATTATTTATATTTTGTTTATTGCTTCTTGTCTGTTTTCCATTACTTTATGTTGTTTTTTTAATTTGGTTTTTAATTCTTTCAATTTTGTTTCATTTGTCTAAGTATTATTAATCTATTGTGACGTTGCAATAAATGTCTATTCTATTCCGTTCAAAACGCATGATCGAGGGCGGAGATTTTTTTTATAATATCCAATGTCGGGACAATGGTAAGCTAAGGTAAGCGGGACATACCTGTCCATAATAGTTGCAGTACCACTCGAAGCTTTAAACTGTAAGCAGTAACTGTAACAGTTGCATGTTACCAAAGTAAGTAAGTAGTAAGGCTACCAAAAATCATAGTGTGTACGTAGTTCGCTAGTTTGACTGTCACGTTACAGTTCCAGCCCGCTGATGAGCACCCGACTTTACTGCCCGATACAGATCTAAAAACTGTCAGATAGTTCAACAAAATGTTAAATTTTTGGTAAATTTATTATGTTTTGTAAAAAATCATGCAACAAGAAATATTATTTATTACAGTAGTGACAGTACATAACAAAGGTCTTACGAAAATTTTGATATATAAAGATATAGAAATCATTGACAAAATGACAAAAGATTATCAAAAAGTTATTCTTAACTACATTGATTTACAATTATATGGACGTCGGGTCCGCGCTAAAAAGTGTCCGATCTTATAGGGCGTTAAAATCGTATACAGACCGTCATTCACGCTTTAGTCTTCGTTTGTTCGACTGACAGCGAAGCAAGCAAAATTAGACAGTACTGCGATGACATTACAATTTAAATTCAACGTTTTAGCTTTTTCATATTTCTTTACATGTCACTACGTTTAAATAGGTTGACTTGGGACATTTTTTCGTAGTTTTTGTATTAAACCCGTCGTCCATTTATTTGTAAGACAATGTTTAACTATGTTTTTCTATTTCTTTTCAGCGTATTCATACACGCTCTGCCAAAATTCAATGGCTTCTTTGAACAATTTCTTTCCAGGTGTGAGGGTTTCTCCAATATCCAAATATTGTTCTTGAACATTGTCGTATTCAGGCCAGGTCACTCCTACAGATGCATTTGGAGTGGGATTCCTGTAACAAAATCTTGTAAGTGACAGGAAATAGGAATTATGCATTCATTTTGTATGAAAACCATTTGATTAGAGAAGGATGGCGAGATCCCATGTATTTTGTGACCCAGTGTTTTTGACGACGTGCATTACGAAGACCTATCAATATTTGTGATTCGTTATCAAAGCATCATAAAAGCTAATTGAGTACAGCCTGTAGAAGCTGGGGTTATAAAGTTGATATAGGTTATGTTTATAACATTGTTCTGTACTTCGCTTCAGATGTTTGGTCGTAGTGGTAGAAAACAACAAATATTTAGTCCAAATCTGCCAAACTCTGCCAAATTTAATATAACTTATCATGTTCTGCAGCAATGAAAATGAATAAAAATTAAATCTGCCCAAATGGCAAAAATCTGCCACAAATGGTCACACTGTTCTGAATGTCAATGTGACATTCACGTTGGCAAGAGGTCTATTGTCAAAACGTTCCTTTGCAAACTTTCCTAAATATTTTTGTCACATGCATAGGTCAATGGTCACATGTCTATTTTTGCTCTATGTCATTACTGTATAATTGATTGTTTCCTTATGTATTTTATAGTTTTAATTTATTTATTTATTTATTTATTAGACGAACCCAACAGTCGACATTCAAGAAAGATTTAACAAATAAATTTGCTTAAAACTAGATTTGGACCAGAATGCCAACCAGGAGCGTGTACGTACAGCATGTTTTGAAAGTTTCTGTCAATTAATTATAAATTACAAATTTTGTGTTGGCACAAGTAGAGCAAAAGATAAGACCATAGAGAAAAAGTGTTAAAATAAAATTGCGAGACTTCAACTAGACTGCTTGAGGACACCCGCAACAGACTTTTTAAATATATGACACTTAGAATTAAATATATCTAACTGTATGTTATCCTTAATTAAGTCATTATAGGTGCGGCACATTCTTGTTATAGGATTGTAAAATGACTTATGTAATGTTTTATGTGTGTACTATAAAGTAACCAATGCTTTAGGTAGGTAAACATTCAATCATGCCTAAAATTAAACGTATGTACAAGAACGTTACATAATCTATAGTCGAACTGAATCAAATGCGTTGTGTTCTTGCATGTATTCTAAAATACATTGTTTCGCAATTTCTTTATTCCCGCCTTCTTAAAATATACAAAAATATATGGATAACTAGGCATAAACTAAAACGCAAAATTATACTAGCAAAGTCCATGAACGGCTCTACGTCGTTATTGGGGCAACTTTCGCCATCCTTCTTTAACCAACTTTTGCTATGCCGATTTTTTCGTCCCATACAATGAAATGATCCTTACATAAAACTGAGTCGATCAGCTCTAAAAAAATAGTGACAATTTTATTCATTTTTATTGACAACTCACGCTTGACCTCAATTCACTTTCATATTAAAAGACTTAATGATTCATAAGGCAGTTTCCTTGTATCTGCTATGGTTACGGATTTCCGCATACTATTCCATTAAAAAAACTGTATAAGTAATGTATATATTTTCATCACATTTGATCTTAAATGATTATTATGCTATGATTGCGAGGCAGCTAACTTGATTATAATGCCATAATTAAACCCATGGAGCAGTTTTTTCTTTCCATTGCAGCCATGGTCGGTAAGAAGTTTTTTATTTTAATTTGAAGCGCGTCATACTTCCTGCATACGTCAGGTTCAAGTACAAGCACGGAGGTTACTTAAGTTCAAAATTAAAACATTCGCCTAATATATAACAGAAATTTAATTTCAATTCAGTCACATACTCTTAAACACTTATTATTAAGAATTTCTTATAATTGATTTTTATTATTTTCTGTATAAAAATTTAGCTTTTTAGAAGAAGTAAAAAAGAAACCCGCCAATTCCTAAATCCATAATTCTTAGATGTTGTGAACCATATCTATATTGTATTTACTTCCTCGCCGAAGTGATGAAAAACATTGTATGTATCACAGACGGTAAAAAAATACAAAACTCGAATTATGAAAGCCCTCAGCCTTTGGCTTTGGCTTCGGGCTTCTAATAGACACTCGTTAGTAATTTCTTATTTGCCTTACACAATCCATTAATTGAACAGAAACGTGGTTTCAAGAAAGGTCAACGAAAGGAATCGTAACTAACCAAGGAAACGCTCGAAGTCTTATTCACAATCGAATTTAACACATTTTGAATACTGCTGTGTATAATCAACATTTATACAACCCACTCCTGGGGACGGGTCTCCTTTAGGTGAGAATTTTAGGCCATAACGCCGCCACCCAATGTGAGTTGCGTACTTCACATGTTTTCCGAGAGTTGTGACCTTTCTTCAACGTGCAGATTCCATTATAATGTTTTCCTTCACCGAATATATCAAATTTCAAATAAAGTTTCGCGTAAAAACTTTTGAGAATCTCAGAGGTGCGAGCCTGGATGCGAAGTCACAGCCTCTTCTTAAGAGGCGGTAGGCCAAACCATAAGCTACCACGGCTACACTACTGCTGTGTAGTAAGTAAAAAGATGCATTATTCTGGTTTGGCCCCGTTTATTCGAAACAGCAAAATAAGCCAATTAAGAAGATAAAAAAATCCAATTAGACGATAAACTATCGTACAAGTACTCAAGTCTGTTTACACATGTTTTCCTCATATAAACAAGAAATAAAACTTCATTTGAGATTCTAATATCAGAAGTTAATTTTGAGTATCTAAAACTGAACAATTCGAGTACCCAACAAAACTTGTCAATTAAGTTACAATGTTAAGCATAAAAACAAACGTGCCATTGTCATTATTTACAGATAAAAAACAGTTACAGAATGCAAGGTTGGCAGCCAGAGATTAGAACATGTGAATGTATTTGTGTACCTGTTAGCAAGAGATGGTAAGTGTGTAAGTGATAATTGAGCTAAGAGTGCAAGATGGGAATCGAGTGAATGGAGCTCTATTTACCTTAATACGTAGTAAGAATGTCTCAAGACAGACGCGTTTGCCTGTTCATCGAGGCGAAAGAGGTTTCCCAGGAGAGTAGCTGGTGGAGAGCCATAGTAGATACTATCTACCATGGCTCTCAACCAGCCACAAGCGAAGACAAGCGTGATGATATGTATGTAAAGACAAACACCAACTTACCCAAATTTTGCGAAGTTAGTGAACAAGGCGCAAGTTTCCTGTATCATTTTATATGATTTGCTTGATTTGTCGATGCTTAGTTTCGCTTTCTTGGCATCAAACAAATACATCAAGTCATCTAAGTGACTCGCTCCTGTGATACCGTACTTGGCTCCCAATTGTCCGTAGATATTTCTTTCTGACACATTTGAAAAGCAATACATGTACCTTTTGGTGTTACCAATTTTTGGTAGAAGTCTTATGTACTTTGTAACGTAGTATGGGAAGCAAGACTCACAGAAAAAGACAACAGCTTCTTTCATAGAATCAACTGTAATTTGTTTGTCTCCGAAGTAATGGGTTTTAATTTTATCCGCGAGCTCCAAAACCTTGATAGGAGAGCTATTGTAAAAAATTTGTCGGGGTACTAAAATTTCTGGATATTTACTGTACGATTGTAACAAAGTTTCAAAAGCGGGAATTCCAACTATAGCTTCCTTATCGGTATAACCTATCATGACATCAACTTCATTTACTTTTCCACTTCTGAGTGCTACTTCTGGATCAATAGTTAGGAAATGTCCTGCACCAAAGTCTTTCTCAACTACAGGTGTAAAATGGTACATTTTTAGAATATTGTTCAGTGCTTCTTCTGCTGAAATCACACAAGGACTTACGTCAACTAATTTTTCAACGGGCACGCTTTGCAAGAAATGAAGAAGTTTGCAGGCATCATTCGTTTCAAAACCAAGTTGCTTTCCTAAAACAAACGCGCGTCTTTTTGGTTCAAATGGTGTTGACCATTCACAAAGTGGTACGCCACTCATTGGTATTGCTCTCTTAAATAATTCTTTAGACATAGGCGACAAAACGTGAAGAGCTGCAGATGCTCCTCCAGCACTCTCGCCAAAGATAGTGACATTTTTGGGATCTCCACCAAATTGCGCAATATTCTTCTGCACCCATTTGAGAGCAGCAACTTGATCCTTCATACCAGCATTGCCAGGCACATCTTCAGTATCAAGACAAAGAAAGCCTAAAACTTCAAGTCTGTAATTAATCGTCACTAAAACCACATCATGATTGACAAGGAAATCTGGTCCATAATTGTCTTCATTGCCTGAACCGCTCTTGTAACCGCCTCCATGAATGAAAACCATGACAGCTAAAGGCATCTTTGGTTTAAGATTTCTTGTGTACACATTTAAGTAGAGACAATCTTCGCTTCCTGGAACGTATTGCTGCGTGAAAATGTCTTTTTGGGGACAAACTGGGCCGTGTTCTGTTGCTTTTCTTATACCACTCCAAGGCTTTGGTGGTTGGGGAGCCTAAGAATAATTTTGCATTTATTTTATATGTACATTGAACGATATTGCTTGAGTCAGGAATAGAGAAAATGAAATCTATGATAATCTTTTTGTTTTCATAATAAAAATGGTCTTGACTTATCTAGTTCTTATGTTTTCGCGATAGTTAGACATAGGAAATGAAACTATTTTTCCGGGTTTAAAACGCGTATATTTCTTTTTTTTTTTCAAATAAACCAAAGTTTCGGACCTTTTACAGGTCTCAACAATCGTAACTATGGGACCTGTAAAGGGCCCGAAACGTTGGTTTGTTTGAAAATACAAATATACGCGATTTAAAACCCGAAAAATAGTGTTATTTCCAATGGTCTTGAGAGATAATATATTCTTTAACAATTGAACACAACCTTACCTAAGTTGTTGTAGTTAATATTAACCTTAACGTCATCAGAGCTAATATATCGTTTATAAACTCAAAATCATCGTTAAACTTTATAAATAACTCATGTACGAAGTTAGTTAAAATCTTGAAAATATTTAATGTAACTGTCATCTATTAAAATATTTTTAATTAAGGCTGAGGTGTAATAGTTTTAATTAAGGCTAACTTAACTTAACCTACCTTGAATCTGAGTGGCCCAAACGGCGGTTCGGCATAAGGAACACCTTTAAAACTGTAATATTGACCATCTCCTGTCACTAAATCCAACTGTTCGCCTTCCAACAAGCCCTGTTCTACTTCGACCTTCACCATTGTTTATAAAATTAAAATGCTACACGGGTATTTAAGTCAATCGCCGTCTAGCAACTGCAAAAAATGTATTTCTACTTACGTATTAAAAGATCTGTCGGATACTTACGGCATAGAATTATCACATCTATTTATAAGGCCATAAAACTGAGATGTCATACGTCGTGAATACTCATACTATCAGCGTTGTTTTGTTTAGTGGTATTATTAATTATAGCTTGTCCTTGACAATAAATTGTCTAATTAGAGATTATTAGCTCTACTGTGGAGTCTCAGCGTTCTAGTCTCAATTCATTTCAAGTTCTTTGCCTTAAAACAGAATAGTAAAAAAATATATATTTATAAAGATAAAAGATTCAAAAAATTTCGTGTAATAATTCTTGGTTTGAAGAGCGAGACAGCTAGACATCAAAGAAAGGTAATTTTAACAAGTATAATCTTGAATTCTTACGTTTTCGCGATTGTTACACATTTACACGCATTTAAATCCAAAAAATAGTTTCACATCCTAACTATAATATTATTATAGCACCACGACGACTTTTGCCCTGGTACTCATAGTACAGGGAATTACCTAGTTTTAGAGCAAGCAATTAGTGTGGTTATCTGGCATGTATTATTATATATATTAAAGTCCAAAGTAGGAAACCCAGATGCTGCCTACAATTTATTGGCAGAAAAAGCCGATGCTCTGCAGAGGATGGTTTGATACTGTATTAAGAAGGTCCCACAAATATTCAGTAAAACAAACTAGCCCAAAAACACAGTTTTCTTTATTGGATGCTTATACCAATACTGCACAGTTATTGTCATTATCTTTTTCTAGTTTCTTCGCCGTTCAATAGTATAATAGCAATTGCTCTATACTAACTCTGTAGTATTTGCTCAAGTAAAATTTGTAGGCGTTTTCCTCCCAGCCGTAGGAAAACACATTTGTGAAATCATTATATAGTTCTCTTTAGTCGAAAATGCAATTTTAAATAAGTTGAACTTTTGGATGACGCTTTGACGTGTTCAGTTTCACGCACCAATCGCCTCGTCAGGACGGCACCCGCGCAGATCCGTAAAACTGAAATTCGTTGGAAGTGTAATTTAAAATAACGTGAAAATAGTTTTTCGGTTGAATTTAAATTGCCGCGTTGTTTTTTTTATAAACGCGCACTTACTTCTTTTCACTATAAAAACGGTACTAATAGCATTGACTTACAAATAAATGGACGACGGGTCTATAAACGTAGTGACATGTAAAGGAATATGAAAAAGCTAAAACGTTAGATTTAAATTGTAATGTCATCGCAGTACTGTCTAATTTTGCTTGCTTTGCTGTCAGTCGAACAAACGAAGACTAAAGCGTGAATAACGCTCTGTATACGATTTTAACGCCCTATAAGTTCGGACACTTTTTAGCGCGGACCCGACGTCCATATAATTGTAAGTCAATGACTAATAGTTATAATTTTTTCATAAAAAAACGGACTTTAAAAATTTGTTTATCCGCGTTCGTTGTGTTCGTTACATCAACAGACCACAGTTACATCTATTTGACAAGTTTTATTGAAGTCGGTTATCGGAAAGTGGGTGAACCAGATTCATCCCCTAATTTGCCACGCTTAGAAGTGGAATATCTTCTTCAATTTGAATGGGATTACTATTGAGGTACCCTTTTTTCACCAAAAATAAAGGATCATTGAAATCGGTTCACAATTATTGTAATAATTGCGTAAGACACACACAAAAATATAGTTAAAATGAGACCTTTTTTTGAAGTCGGTTAGAAAGAGTTTTTCAAATCGAATTTAATTTTACAAAGGTTATTAATGCTCAGGTACACACAGCTGTAGCTCAAATATAATTAGAAAAATATAAATATCCGTCCACAGCGATTGGCAGTTTTTATTTCTTTTTCAGTAAAAACCTCAATTCAGAGATACATAACAAAAAAGTTGATTGAAAAAATTAGATAAAATAAACGCCGCGATCATAATTTATTTATGGTGTCTCATATTTGAAAACAAACAATACAGATTCTGTAAAAGCATTAATTGTGCTAGCCCGACTAGCGCTTAGCCGTTTTTGTTATCATTAGTGAAAGACAAATCCACGTTTGTTTATTTTGCATGTTCTTTGTATATAGATAAATTGCGAACGCTATATGACCTTTGAAAACATTTCTCAAACAATAACCACCCTTCAAGGTTTTAAAAACCTACCAAAGAAATCAAGGCCGGCTAAGGCTACTTTAACTAATGATTCCTCATTGAAAACCCTTGAGGTAAACGGTATTACAGCGGCAAACAAACGACCCCTTTTTGATAAGAAGGAATGCCTTTTAAATTGCGATGGAACATACCCGTTAAGTTTGTTAAAATTTGGAATAGTAGACATTGAAAAATGGGCCCTTAAAATTATGACTTTGGGATATAACAATGGTCATATGATATTATATGAATGATATATTGAGATATAATCGATTTAACGTAAAGGAAGATAAATTATCGAGCGAAATTAAACTCTTTTTCCGGATCTAATATAGCGTATATTTTGTCAAACAAACTGACGTTTCGAGCTCTTTACAGGTTCCATAGACAACCGTTTTCGGAAAAAATATCACACATACATTATGTTTTGGTAATTCTCCGAAAAAAATCAAATAGTAAAAACTTTTCAGAAAATGTAAAATTTTTGCATTTGAAAACGTCATTTTTAAGCTATTGCTCGTTCACTACGATGACCTCCCTGAGAAGAACGAGCAAGAAACTCTAGGGATTACCATTTTCAAGTAAACTTACATACTATGGAATACACTTTGAATCATAATTGTGTGGAATCTAGGCTCTTGTTGTCTTACCATACTTCTTTATCTAACACATACTCTTAAATTTTGTAATATGACTTTTCAATTAAAATATTTTTAATGTAAGTTTTAAACTTAGGAAATGGTAATCTTAATATATTCTCCGGAATCTTATTGTGAAAACGTATACAGTTCCCCATAAAAGAATCGTTTACCTTGGTTAAACGCAATCGTGGTACCATGAGTTTGGACTTAGTTCTAAGGTTAATATTATGGATATCTTCTTTCTTAATGAAATTATGTATACTTTTACGGGCATACAAAATATTTGACTAAATGCCACAGTTATGATACCAGTCTCCTTAAACTTTTTTCTGAGAGAAACCCGAGAACCTAAACGGTACATAGAACGAATCGTTCCGTTTTGCAACACAAATATTGTTTGTATATCTGCCGCTTTACCCCAGATGAGAATCTCGTAGGATATTATACTATGGAAGTAACTAAGGTAAACTAGTCTAGCAGTAGCAACATCGGTAAGCTCACGTATTCTACGGTTGAATGTTTAAAAAATTAACCAGTCTGAATTTCTGCTAATTCGATAAGATAGGAAAAATATAATTCGAAGTCAAGAGAATATCTATTAAAGTTTAATTTAGCATGATTTAAAATTGTGTAAACATTGCTAAATGTAATTTTCTGAACCATGCTGTCTATTTTACGAATTTGTGACAATAATCTTGCTGCTTATTTTCACAAATTCTCATAACACAGTACAGTGTCTTCAACTTTTGACAGGTGTCGCGATCGAACGTGGAAAAATACAGGGAAAAAAGAAGTTTTTCCATGACCCAGCAGTACACATATGTACATTCACTTCACACCCTTTCCTGGAGGTACGCAGAGACAACAGCCTTCAACATTCTACGATCCTGATACACATTTTTCGCCTCATTAACACACATCAATGCTTTCATTCACGCTCGTGGTTAAGGGTACTTTAGACCTTTCTTTACAACACGTCCTCGATTGTTCGTGTTAAGTTCGCCTCGGTCGGCCCTTACAAAATTTGTTCGCTTACGCTCGCCTTATAAATCTTCGTGAATCTTCTGTCATTCATCCTCATTAAAATATAACCTCATAATATGATATAAGGTCTGGTAAGGTCGTCACTATGTATTGCGTAATAACAAATAGGTAGATAACTTATATATCATAAATTTAAATAGTGATTTTAATCCTCAATTAACATTAGTATGATAACAGATAACAGTGATATCAAAATTCATAATGCATATTCATAAATGCATAGACAGCAATAACTACACATATACAACTGATTTTGCTTTTATTACATAATACATGTTCCGCGATTCGTTCTTTTTCCACTATTTCTATTTCTCTCCAGCCGCTTCATACACGCTTTGCCAGAAATCAATGTCTTCTTTGTACGATTTCTTTCCAGGAGTAAGGGTTTCTCCGATATCCAAATATTCTTCTTGAATATTATCGTATTCAGGCCAGGTCACCCCTAAAGACTTGTCAGGAGTGGGATTTCTGCAAAAAGATGCAAGAGATTATGATGATAGATGATTTATCGATCAACTATCATATTTTAACCTATGTATGTTTACAGAAGTTATTATTTTGCTCAACTAGTTAATTATCACCGACGTTTAAATTTGAGATTTCTTACATCCAACAGCTCGCAGGTCTTTGGTGACGTACTATAATCTAATCGCAAGTGGCACAAAGGTGAAGTTAAACTTTATAAACAATGGGAGACGACCAGTTTTCTTCTATCCGTACGTAGCAACAAAATACTTACCCAAATTTAGCGAAATTGGTAAACAAGACACACGTTTTAAATATCATTTTATAACTTTTGCTGTTTTTGTCTATCATCAATTTTGTTTTCTTCGCATCGAACAAATACATCAAGTCATCCAAGTGGCTCGCTCCTGTAATACCGAACTTGGCTCCCATTTGTCCATAAATGTTCCTTTCTGAGACACTTGAGAAACAGTACATATATCTCTTGCTATTGCCCGTTCTTGGGAGAAGTCTTATGTATTTTGTAATGTCGTAAACGAAATAAGATGCACTGAACACGACAACAGCCTTTTCTATATCCTCAACTGTGATTGGTTTGTCTCCAAAGTAATGATTTTTAATTTTATCAGCGAGCTCCAAAACCTTGACAGGAGAGCTCTTGTAAAAAATATGTCTTGGTACCAGAATTTCTGGATATTTATTATAAGATTGTAAAGAAGTTTCAAAAAAGGGGATTGCAATCAAACCTTCTTTATCAGTATAGCCTATCATGACATCGACTTCATTTATTTGTCCTCTTCGAAGCGCTTCTTCTGGGTCCATACTTAGGAAATTTTCTTTACCAAAATCTTTCTCTACTACAGGTACAAACTTTAGAAGACTATTGAATGGTTCTTCAGCTGCAATTACACAAGGTTGTACATCAACTAATTTTTCAACGGGCACGCTTTGCAAGAAGTGAAAAAGTTTGGAGGCATCATTTGTTTCAAAGCCAAGTTGTTGTCCTAAAACAAACGCTCGTCTTTTTGGTTCAAAAGATGTTGCCCAATCACAAATTGGGACACCACTCATTGAGATAGCCCTCTTAAATAATCCTTTGGACATAGGAGACAAAACATGAAGAGCTGTAGATGCTCCTCCGGCACTTTCTCCAAAGACAGTGACATTTTTGGGGTCTCCACCAAATTGTGCAATATTTTTCTGCACCCACTTAAGAGCAGTAACTTGGTCTTTCAAACCAGCATTACCAGGCACGTCTTCAATATCAAGACAGAGAAAACCCAAAACCTCAAACCTATAATTAATTGTGACTAAAACCACATCATGATTGACAAGAAAATCTGGTCCATAATTGTCCTCATTGCCTGAACCGCTCTTGTAAGCACCTCCATGAATGAAGAACATTACAGGTAAAGGTGAGGTTGGTTTAAGATCCCTGGTGTAGACGTTTAAGTATAGACAGTCTTCGCTTCCCGGGATGTATTGCTGGGTGAACATGTCTTTCTGGGGACAGACTGGTCCGTGTTCTGTTGCTTTTCTTATACCACTCCATGGCTTTGGTGGTTGGGGAGCCTGGTGATAAATATCCATTTATATTATATATATGTATATATAAGAGGTACACTAAAGAAAAGGCTGAATAACATTATCAATATTTATTATTAATATTTATGGGAATGACGACTGAAATTGCTCTTTTTCAAATAACGTTCTGGTATACGTGGCCAGTGTGGTTCAAACAATATTGTTATCACAATTTAACCTTTTTTCGACTTCGAGACCTCTAATAAATACATGAGTGTATACCACATTCACGTCTTTGCTCATAAGATCTGGTAAAAGATTTAAACTTACTCATTATCCAATTTGCCGAAATGACATGAACAATTGGTAATCTTTAATTAAGATTGAATTACTAACCTTGAATCTAAGTGGTCCAACTGGCGGTTCGGCATAAGGTACACCTTTAAAACTATAATATTTTCCGTCTCCTGTCACTAAATCTAATTGCTCCCCTTCCAACAAACCCTGTTCGACTTTAACTTTTACCATTTTTTGTTGTTTTTTAACGTAAACTCGACACGAGTATCCAAGCAAAGCGCCGTCGAACAACTACAGAAAATATATGTTTATAAAACCTACGGAATCCGGCTAACGTAGAGGAAAATGACATCTACTGGTAATGGAATAAAACTGACAATCGGTTTGCTATGTATCGTGTAATTGAATGATTACAATAATGTTTGTCCTTGAAAAGTGGAGCAATGTGGAGTACTGTGGAGTACATTGCTCCAATAGCGAGCAACAGCTTGTACTGTTTATTACGAGTACTAATATTTCCTCATTCAAACTTAACCACTTCGCTTATTTTAGAGACAGCTTTAACAAATAAAAATACGTGTTCCAACTTTACTTTCAAAATAATTTCATATCATTTATTACTAGTATTATAATTGGTATATTGAAAGTTAACCAAAATGTAAATAATTAGAACAGTGAAAAACGATCTTTCATACAAATTATTTATTGCAATAATAAAAAAAAAACAAAAAGGGCACAACTACGATTCTTATCAAAATTGATTTACGTATAATTAAGCTACCTAGTTTTTTGTAGAAATTAATCTCAATAATTATTGGAAACACAGTAAGCTCAAAAGGCTAAATATAAATATATGCTATTTATTTATTTATTTAATCTGTTTGCACAAACAGTAATGTACAAATGGCAGACTTAATGCCATAACGCATTCTTTACCAGTCAACCATTGGGCCAAACAGAAAAAAAATGTAGTGCTACACTTCAAACAGACAAAAATAAGGAAAAAATATCTTAAGCCAAATTTTTATAGTTACTTAATTTATACGGTATAATAAACAGAATACAGCATAAACATACTTAATATACTTATATAATAAACAATACATAAGTACATGATAAATATACCTAATATACATTGACTTACAATTATACTAATATAGTAAAATATAGAAAACATAATATTACTTAGTAAAATATAACAGTACAAAATATATACGTAACCTAGTTAGAATAATAATTTAACGTGACAATTTAACGTCTATATTATATTCTATATTAGGTTGTTATCAATTCGCGAGGTTGCCAGCGCGCCGCCCGAAATATCAACCTGTGCAAATAAATACTAGGTGGACTAATTATTGGTTCGATTGGACTCGATACCACCCAATATCAACATTTACGAGATCTTTACCTGTTCTAGTAAAAACGTCTGACCTCTAGCACTGACGCAATGCCCGCGAATGCGGCAGACGACTCGGTGTAATTGCGCCCTTTATTAGTTACTTCCACAATATTGGGACACTATTGTGACTCTCTCTCTCTCTCTCATCTGAGCGTTGTCCCGGTTGCGTCCTCAGCAGTGTTGCTGCGGAGCCCGGGGTCCGCTTTCCTGCTTTTTTTCCTCTACTTTGCTCGGTCTCCTTAGTGGTGAGACCATTGGCACGCATATCACCCTTGGCGACGTCAAGCCAGCACTTCTTGGGTCTGCCCCTTCTACCGGGGCCCGGCGGAGGTGGCATAGCCAGACATTTGTTTCCCACGTAGCATGCCGGTTTCCGTAAGATGTGGCCGTACCAACGTAGGCGGCTTTCGTCGTCCATAGATAGCATTGTAATTAGTAACATTGGTGACAAATAGATGGCGCTATTCGATAAATATCTAAATTCTCGTACTACCTTTTCTCAAAACATTAAATAATTAATGTAATTTCTACATCATCATGCTAATTTACCCTTAACGTCATAGTTTAGGCACCAGTCTTCCATCCACAGACATATATCTAGATAGACGCCGCAAGTACAGCAATTTCTACGAAAACCAAGCGTGCTACATTTTTTGTACCCACTATGACGTCACAAGAACTATTTGGTGATGGAAACCTCCTTCCGCTCGCTCTAAATCGATTGATTGAACGGAATACGCGTAAACACGCGTATTCCATTCCATTAATCGATTCTAAATAGAATCATTTTTGTTCAAGTATTTGTTCATTACAACTAGTCAAAATATTAATATAGTAGAAAAATACTAGATTAAGATAGTTACGTCCTTTATTTTACTTGTTTTTAAAAAAATTTGAATACTTAAATAAAATTAATACTTTAATTTTTAATCGACTTCAAATATTAAAATTATTGTCCTTCCATTAAAATGAACTTATTATATATAACATCTTTTTGTAACAGAAAATCTTATCGATTAACTTAAATAATAAAAATGCACGTCAATATATGAACTTGCGACTGCCTTAATTAATTTTACTAGATGGTTTTCTGTTGGTAATTGATCAAATTGTTGCAAAATGGCAAGACAAATGAAAATGTTACTGCCGACAAAATATGATAAAATATTATTAATCAGAAGAGGTTTACTTAATGACGGCCTCGTGTGAAATTTTTGAGATTTGTTTATTATTTCTCGGATCTCTAACTCTGCTACTCTGCATATTTGGATAGCATCTTATATGGGATAAACTAGACCACCTTCGTCCTTGAAAGCACCGAACTCATACGTATGACCAACTCCAGTAAAGACAGCGTACTGTTAATTCTTTGCATTATATATATTTTTGTATTACTCGTACTACATATCCGGTGATGTATGTAATTATTTGCTCACTATATTCAGACATTTAAGGCAACGTGCTGCAAAAATTATTTGACGAAATTACAGATGCTACTGATAATAGACACTACAAAACTGAAAAAAAAAGAAACATTACTAAACGTTATAACAAAAGAGTTATGGAATATTTTTATAATATTGCTAAGGTCATAATAATTTTTGTCCCTGTGTTTTCAAAATCGATCAGAATCGAGAACAGTGTTGCCTAACGTACACCACTAAATGTTAAATTTGGCCAAAATAATGTACAAGCGGCCGTACCACGAAATTGGATGCATTATACAAAAGTGCGTTCGTTCGATATTCATGGAGTATTAACAAAGGATCACAAATATATCGCACAAAGTAAAAGCCGCAATGTATTACAAACATCAGGCATACACTCGGTTGCATATTTGTTTTCTCGAAATTCGTAGAAAATAATTTAAAAAATCAAAATATTGTTTTTAAAATAAATTATGCATCTTCTAATTACAAAATCACTTGCCCGTAGAAGGAATCGTCCCTGTTTACCCGTTCACCCATAGTGACCATCACTGCAAAAGCACCATACTTTTGCAGTTTATAAAAGCACAATTAGTCAATTTTCGCGTTTTCGACTGATGTTTATGTACGATAACCGTCGAGCGCGTTCTGAAATGTAGCTGCGGCAACTAAGTGAAATCCACTTACTTTGGGCACGCGAAATACTTACACTTGCGGCGTCTATCTAGATATATGCCTGTGCTTCCACCTCACAATTTAACTGTACGATGTTTCTTAGTTTAATTACTCTGTAAAATGTATTGTTAAGGTGGAAAAGAACAATAAATTGATTTCATTGATTGATCAATATTAATGGTCTTAATAGTAACAATGATATTGTAAAATGGCAACATTGGTTAATTTTTTAGGGTTGATTTGGGTGCGTTATGGTGTAACTCTATTTGGTTTATCAGTCATTTTCAGGTAAGTTTTTTGTACTCAAAGTTGGTGATAATTTTTATTATTTAATTACTCGAATCGTGAAATATTAAAGAATATTACAGGTTACCACATTTAAATATTAAATAATGCTTCTTGATGACATTCTATAAATATTTAATAAAAAGAAATTGTCACCAAAATTGAGTACAAAAAACTTACCTGAAAATTACCCTTACAATGAAAAGTAATTTGGAAATACAACCGTAATCTTCCGTATTTAATTGCTGCACTTCTGTAACAATATGTAAGAATATTTTCTTTTTTTATTCTTGTGTTTACTATTAATTATTTTATACGGTCGTGTAAATGGTTTTTTTCGTAATTTAACTGATCTTGGTCTTCCTCACCCGGCCACTGGCGTTTACGCCTATGGAACTCATCATCACCAAAGCTGTTAATGTCAATAAATTTTGCTAATATAAATGCGGCAGGCGTGACGACCGGGTTAACTTTCATAACATCCCTAATAAATAACTTTAACAACGCGGCTTATAACATGTAAACATGAGTTAATAGATTAAAACGGGAGAGGACCTAAAATGTGTATAATGTGATGTGTTGATTCTATAATAATAATAGAGTTCATAATCTTGTCATGTCATTGCTATCTACTGGTTGTATCGCTGGTCTTATAGAAAAATTACAGCTGGTTATAGAATAGAATAGAATACGTTTATTTGCCAGAATACAGTAATGCTGAAGGTCTTAAATAAAATAGGTACATTGTATTCAACCTGCAAGCAGATGTGCAAATGTTAATATCATGTTTGGTTTCTATCGTTAATTGCACTTCAAATTAATGTCAATTTTTATTTGGAAATTCTAAGTATCACTACAGAAGCAATGTGTCAAAAGCAATTTTGTCAATTGTAATTTAAAAGTATGTCCTTGCATAATTTAATTTCATTTGGCAGATTGTTGTAAATAATTATACTCATGTTGAAGCAGTTTTTCTTATAAATTACTTTATGGCAACGAGATTGGTACAAAAGATTCATAATTTTTGCTCTAGTCTGCCTTTGATTAGTTTCACCACGTGTTTTGAAATATTGAGGATAAGTTTTGACAAATACACAGATATCCCTAACATACATGCATGGCAAAGGCAGTATGTTTAGTTTTTTAAACAGCGTTTTTACAGCTGTTGTCGAACCACCCACCGCAGAACACTGTTCAGAAGAAGTCTGAATCTTAAAGCCCTTTAAGCCAGTTAAATAAAATTGCTTTTATTAATATGAAAATTAAACGACTTCTAGTAATGGCAGTAGTGGGAGCGGTAGCATTTAAAAAAATGTCCATAACATTACACCTTGTAACACGATTTTTGTTTCTGGGTTATCAATTCGATAATTATTATCTAATTGGTTTTATATAAAAAAAAACATTTAAAAACTTTATTTCCTTGGAAAAACTTTGTTTTTATGGTCAGGTCAGGACAATGAAAAGTTGAACTT